TTTTTCTTAATCCAGTGGTAGCATCATTCTGTTGGACTGTTTCACTATCAATAAAACCAGAACATTGAGCAAAGCAAATATAAGTAGATAAATTAGGCCAGCATTAAGCTTCTGAAATGACATTCCCAAAACCTCCCCAACAATTGGAAACTGGAGCTTAAGAGCCTGGCCTTTGCCAGCAAACCAACTCATTGAAAAATCTGAGCAACCTGGAGAAGAAAAGTTTAAATAATTATGTCAGTATTAAACCCCCCCGGATGAGTAAACGGCTGATTGCAACTGCATCAAAAACATCCACATGTTCATCTCCATTGCTACAGGGTCTCACACCCCAGAGACCAGGGACAAGCCGCCACCCCGTCTTAGCTGTGATGGAATCAGCATGATAGTCCAACCTCTTGCTGGGAAGACTGATGAGAGCTTCCCATTTGCAACTCCGCAGCAATGTGAGCCACTTCTACACCATGCAAATTTAGGTGAGATTCGATATTGTACTCTGTGCATGTTGACAATGTGATTCATGAATAGTGCGATCAACACTTTCTGTATGATGGATCACAAAACACACATGTAAAATGCAAACAGAGGGCCGTGGCATGTACAAATGGAGGGGACAAGGAGAGATATGCACTAATTTTATACAGGATTAAGACGTGCAGATTCACGAGTCTGGCTCGTGGTGTTATTGTGGTAACCGGGACACCATCATTACTTAGAACTTGTAACCCGGGAATTCCCAGTACTATTAGAGATCATGTTTGTATTACAGGATTAGGGGGAGTAATTTATTAGCTGGCCTAATAATGTAAGAAAAACAAAGATGGAGGAAAAAAAGCTTGTGTTGGTAGACCTAGAAGGCCCAGCAAAAAAACACCAACACAGTGTGACGGAGTGATAACACCGCAGTCGGAAGACGTGAAGTAAGCCCTGCACGTTCTCCAACAGGTTGTGAACACGGAGCACCAGCTGCGCCCATAATGAGCCCAGGAGCCATCAGGGCCATGTTTCTGGTGGAATCAAGTGATAGCAGCTGACCTACTTGACCCCATTTTCCATTAATTAGCGCATTTTTCGTCACAGGTTTGCCATTCGCAGCCTAACAAGATGACCAAACTAGGAAATGCCAAATAGAGGCACGTGGAGGGGAAGAGAAGACTCGCTTTACCTGGTCCAATCAGCAGGCACTATTACAGCTGAAACCCCCGGTGGCTATTAGCACGGCACATACCAATTAAGACGCTAAGCAAATCTCGAGTGCTTTAGAGATTGAGGCCCGCTGTGTATAATGCTTTCTAACCGTAACACCGCACTGAAAATGATGTCAGTCCCATTTCTAGCATTAAGCATACCTTCACCCCCCATCTCCTATTAAAACCTGAGAGTCTTCAATTAGAGGCATTTGCATTTTGCTAATATCATAATTGCAGTCGTGGTCATTAATAGGGAAGTGGAAAATGAGTGTGGTAGTCAAGGATTAATCCGAGCTGAGGGAGAACACATATCTTCCTGCTAACTGCCTTCTCCTGACGACGGTATTAGCCGGGCCCGTCAGCGCACGAGAGCTGAGCTTTATTAAAGGCGACCTGGATTTAACTGTAACTCAATAACTAAAAATAAGGAAGTCATTAAGAACCCCTCGTTAATGTGGCCATGTGTTGTTGAAAGCTACAGGAGAGGGAGGAAAAAAAAAAAAAAAGACTGCTCCATTTAGCCACATGAGGCAGGGAGGTTTTCATCACCCCAACTTGATTCTACCTCTGGGGAATAAACAGGAAACTTGAAAAATGACGTTTTTGGAACTTTCCCTTCCACTGTTGGTTCAGATTCTTACACAGAGCTGATATGAGGATCAGTTAACAGAATATGCTCCATCAGCAAGCAATTCCACTGACAAATTGCTTCCACAGTGTCCTGGGACCATGTAAGTGGGAAATGGAACCATGTTAACATGCTTTTCATTAAGAAATAAAAAAAAAAAATAATTGTTTTGGTATTAGTTGGGTTCCTCTGTAAGCCAAAACAGTTATCTAAAGCAGAAATTAGGTACAAACTGATTCAGTGGAGTTTCCCACGGTTGCTCTGAAATACATTTCTCTGAAGCACCTGAAAACTAGACAATTACATTTTAATTGTTTTATTTTACAAAGTTATGCAAATGTAAATGTGTTTGGGTTGATACTTTAGTAATTTTTTAATTATTATTTCTTTTATTATTGGTATCTGCATGAATAAGGGGTTAGTTAGTTGATATCCACATGTTGCAGATTTTGGATAAATTGCAAACTCTGAGGCCATTAACATTCTACTGTTCTCCACATATAAACTACTGCTGGGTCAGAGCTTCTGTGTTTTTTGTGTATCTTCTCAAAAAAACACTTGTTCACACTGAGCCACGGTCTGCTAGAGGTTTCTTCCTGTTAAAGGGGAGTTTTTACTCTCCACTGTCGCTACATGCATAATATTAAGCGATTATCTACTGTCAACCCCCAGCTCCTTGAGGAGCAGTGAATGCTGCAAGTCAATGACTCAATGCAATTTGCACTTTAACAAATACTTCTCATCTCTGATTATGTTTGCCCTAAATTACTATCAAATGCTTCTGGTGAAAATAAAATCTTCAGAGTATCATAATTATACCCCATATTCCTGTTTGCAATATTCATCTAAGTTGCTTTTTTTGTTTGTTTTTTGTGTGTTTGTTTTAAATATACCATTCAACAAGAGTGGATACTCATTTGCCTCATTAAAAAAAAACACCTCATTTAATATTATCAGTACTCAAATAATATAATTGTGTAGTAAAATGATTGTCATGTAATTTTAACTTTGTTGCTTGAACAATTTCAGCCTCCACTGAAACTGTTCAATGGGAACATTTGTGTGTCTGTTAAATGATTGTTAAAGCTGAATGCTACGTTTGAGCGTTTTGTTAACATTCCTTTAATAATTTTTCTATACTTACTTATCCCACCCGACAGTCTCCATCTCAGATATGAGCAGGGAGTAATATCGAGGAGGCGGGACGGAGCGACCCTCGGGACATCGATTCAGAGCCACTTCCTGCAACAAACACGCAAAAAGAGCAAATCATACCGCTTCAAATTTATTGACCAAAATCATTTCACCACAAGCCAAACTGTATTAGATCCGCTTTCCTCTAAACCACTTTAATCAATTGAATTCTCATAGGATCATTTAATAACATAAAGAAACAATCTAAGGTCTACGTGTGCATCTTTTGCTCATAATTATACACATCACATGTCATCCTTGTCCTTACCAAGACGGTTTTCAACTCCAGAATGAAACCGCCAAGATCCACCGACTGCTGCAGCCTCTGTGAGAAAGACACCCTTGAATGAAGGTATAATGAAGTGACACCGTCTCTTTTTGCTTTCCTTCAGCCAGCCATTCAAATCAAACACAGTGTTTGTGATTAATGCGTGCTGCCACCCGTTTAAATAATTAATGATAGCTTAAAGGCTGTGAAAATAATGAACTTTGCAGCCCAGGGTGAAATATCAATCTCATCCAAATAACCCTGAGGGGCCCACGTAACAAATGCGGACATTTTCCAGGCAATGTTAATTAAACAGTGGGGGGAAGAAATAGAAGGGCACAAAGAAGGCAACATGACACGGCGATAAATACACAGGAAACGACAAGATATTAATCAGAGAAGACAGACACAACGTTTCACTTGATACCGTGATGCCACAAGCAACTGATTATACATTTACCTGCTTCACTATGTGCTCATAGTCACGCAACAGGTGTTTCAGCTGCCAACAGCAGTGCAGCCTGCAGAGACAAAAGTTAGGAGCAAATGCAGCTTCTTTGGTTAGAAAAACACTCCTTATGAAATCAAGCTGGGCTTTAATGCAATTATTAATAAACCAAGGCGATCCTATTAGTACCTGGCCCGCTTCAGTTGGAGATCTGGAGGGAGGAGTATTCTTATTCTGAAGTCTCTTCCCTGGAGAAAACATACCTTATAAATGTAATGTAACGACAAAACCAACACAAAGTTAAGCATAACTGTGGAGTGGAAGGAAAAGAGTTCATGGTTTTCTTTTTTTTTTTCACGAACAAAACAAAAATCTGAAATTGCAATTAATTTAAAACTAATTTATTTTGGGGAATCAGAGTAAAAGGCTTGAATACAGACTGCAACCGTTACAGATGAACTGTATGTTTCAACATGACCAAATAGAAGAGTAATGCAAACTTTAAGGGGACCTCACATCTTTCCATTACATTCTGTTGCTGCCATGATATTTGATGAGATCAATAAAACAACTGTAAACTCCTGGCATCCTGTTTACATTATTTAAGTGTTTTCAATGACGCAGATACTTAAACAGGTTGGACATTTGCTCTATCAAACCGAGAAAATAGATTTTTATGCGAGAATATCTACCTGTACGGTTATAAACCCATCATAGACTGTTTTCTTCTTGTTTAGAGGTAAAAGCAGCGGGTTATCGCGTAATAATAAGCTCTCCATTTAAGTTTATGCAACTTTCAGCTGTCGAAGTATCAATGTCGAGTGTTTCGACGCAAACGTTAGTAATCCCACCCACGCATGATATCGGACGAACTTTCATTAATTGGGTGAGCTATGACAGGCTAATTTGCTATACTTCAAGTAATGTAGTTAAAAACACAAGAAAAGCCAAACCGATAGCAAAATATCCGCTTCCCGCCACCAAGAGCAAAACAGTACACGTCACCCAGTTGCCTTCGAGGGCCTTCGAAAAATATCGGAATTTACACTTAGTCGCAGTGTTACATTTTAACATTAAGGATATTGATATTAATACAATTTTTTATATATCTAAAACTTGATAATGTTACAGAAAGCAATGTGATGTTTCCATTTCATGATAGTCCATGCCGAATATTTTTGTTGCATTCGCGTTAACTCGTATATCTGACCTTGAGTTGAAGACGTTCTATCGTCCCTTTCATAGTCCATACCTCCAGTTCATGTCCTCGTTTCATCACTTTTTTCGTTCCTTACTTCCGCTTCCTACACGGTGTATTGAAAATAGCATGTCAGTTTGTTTTTAGAGTATTTGGAAGAAGGTAAGCATTGCAAAATCCTGAATTTTGGATTCAATCTAAATATATATATTTTTAAAACATTCAAAAACATGCAAGATTTTTGAATAACAGATGGCTTCTTCTGTAATGTTCCTAGTTATGTCATCATGGTTATGCTAGTTTTTGTTTTTGTTTTTCTTAGAAGACAGTCGGTCGGTATTTTTGAGGACATTACTACAAAAACGCTAGCAGAACAAGGGATTTGGCAGTGGGGCAGTGTTGTCATTTGGTAGTACTTGCAGCAAGAAGGGTTTTGGGTGTGAATCCCAGTCTGGAATCTTCCATGTTCTCCCCATGCATACGTTGGTTCTGCAGTTACTCCGGCTTTCTTCCGCAGTATAAAAACATGACTGCTAGGTTAATTGGCCACTTTAAATTGTCCTTAGACTGTGTGTGTATGGTTGTTTGTCTTATGATGGACTGACAGCCTGTTTATGCTGTACCCCACGTCTTGCCCCCAGAGTGCTGAAGATAGGCAACAACTCCCATATGACCCTGCGGTGATAACCAGTACAGTGGATGGATGGATGGATGGATGGGTTGCCAGGGATCACCAACTTTCCAAGTAAGCACTGCGACTTCAGGCACTGCTCTATTTGACTTGAAGCAACTACCCTTTGTAGGTGATGGCCACTCAGAGTGTTGTTAAAATGTTTTCAAATAGTTAAATTCTCAGTACTGTAAGCATTTCAAACTTGAGTCATTTTTGTGGTGAATTTATTATTTTGTGAACTAATGTACTAAAGAGCTGACAAGAGCTCATTTTTTTTGAAGTGAAAACTGTGGGGAAAGAATGTAATTTCTGGATTTATTTTGTAGTCTCAAACACATATTCTCACATGCTGCATTCCTCCAACTGACTTTCATTACTATTCCCTGCAGCATATAAGTTCACCTGTCCCAGCTCCCCTTCACATGCTCCTACTCTTGTGGATCACAGCATCATCAGCTGAATCTATAATCCACTCAGACTTTTGGTTGATCTCCTGTGTCAGCATGACCATCTCTAGAGCAAACAAGAAGGGACTCAAAGCTCACCCCAGGCTTAATTTCACCTCCACCTTCAACCCACCTGTCACTCCCACCTTACCTCTCACCACTAACTCGCCACAACTGGCTTAGAAAGCATGGCACAAGAAATTCAAAAACCCATGGATTTAGCATCCATTTGAGAAAAAAAAAAAAAAACAGTAAAAGGAAGGAGATAAATCTGATGGCAACGAAAACATTATTTACTTTCTTTCACAGTATAAATAACAGGCATAGCATACTAACAGACCAAATTTTGTTAAACTTTTTAAGGCTTGCTCATATCTTAGTGCCCACAGCACATTTAAATATTATAAATAATTTCATAAGAAACACGGTAATGCTGTTACAAATACATTTAAGTATGACTTTAACAAGGGTTAAAGGGACACTTTTTAGTTTTACATCCTTTTAAATTTGCAACAAGACCTGCGCCGCTTAAGTTTGATGCACTGAAATTGGGGCCATAGGCATTGCACCTGCTCAACTCATATTCTGTTTTGTGAGAAAGCTTATTGATAAAATAGCTTAATAAATATTAATCTACAAAAATATTCAGCTTCAAAATCTATGGGAAAAAAAACAACAACCCTTTCCTCCATAGTGAGCAATCTTTTTCACACATTTAAATAAGAAAATGTGTCTATATTTCTAAGAATTAACATTTACTTATTAGTCAAATATAATTACATGTCATCAGATTTTATTGATTTCCTTTAGCAAAAACCATCAAAAGAAAACCCAAACGACATAGGCTTTTCAGAGGTTACTCCTCATAGAAACTGGAACGGCATTAAGTTTGAAATTGTTGACTTTTAAACTTCTAATTTCAGCTAAAACAGACAGAGTACATCTTTCCAGCTTCTCACTGTCACCACTCAAGTTTTCAATAAACTCACTGTGATTTTACATCTTTCCACTCCAAGTGATCTGTTATCAATATTGATTTCACAGAACCCCTCTTCAAACAACCACCAACCTGAACTGTTCATACAAGGCTGAATGGATCAGTCCAATTATACAATCTGAATGCCAAAGACAGAATCGAGATTCATTGGACCAGGCAATGCTTTTTCAATGTGGTTTGAATAGTGTGTGTGAACTGCAGTCTCAAGCTCCATTTTGCACAACACCAGGACTGTAAAATGCAAATGTTTTGTTGCGTTTTGGCCTCTCATTTACAGAAACGGGGTTTTTGGCTGGACATAAGGCAAAGATTTGACAACAGGATCCAGAGCGAAACTTTTTAGAATGCTAATCTTGTCCGTATGAATACAAATCGGAAAAGTTTGGAGACCATGACATCAGCGTGTCATCTTGTGCATTAAGGCCCGATTTTCACCTGCACACTGCACATCATGAATGGCGGACCTCCATCTTCTGTCTTCGATTTGCTTTGCCAAAGTAAAACCTGGCCTTTGTGGAACATTTATGCCTTCAGCGAGAGACTGTATGTGCCAAATGATGCGTTCATCTCTATACGTGGCAATGTTTACGAAAACACACCTGCTGATCAGAAAGTTCTCAAAGCTTCTTCGCCTCCTGCAGGCCTGGAATGCACACTACATCATTTCATCTTCTCCTTGAGCGTTTTCATGCCTCTATTGAGTAGGAGCAATTTCTTTTTTTCATTTACACAGCAGGAAACGGTTTTTGGAAACGTTGTGTAACCATGGCCTCGATAGCAGATAAAAGTGGCTCCCATTGTGATCTTCTGCAGCTGTAGCACGTCTGCCTCAGGGTTCAACTAAGTTCAGAGATTTTATGGTACATAAATAGAGCTACTGTTGCCTTTCTATGATATTCCATGACTGATCGAAAATATTCAATCTAGAAATGGTTTTGAGTGAAAATCTAAGCAGATTAATAGTTTTTGAAATGCTCAGACCACATGAACAAATATGCAGTCAGTCTCTTAGATCCTTTTCTGTATTTTGAACTTCATCAAGTTTCCCTCACCACATTCAGATACCGAAATGTGCTAGAAACTGCTGCCCTGTGATTAGCTGATTTTCAGCAAGCGATCTGAAGTACCTCCTGAGATCAATTTCATAACCTGAACGCTGACGTTCAAATCAAATGTCCTGCTCAACTTTTCCTTACATATGGCTAATTAAACTGCAGAAAATGCCTCTTCTCATCCAATGGAAATTTATTACAACAACAACAACAACAAAAAACACTGCAGTATTGCACACTTGTCCTTCACTTTCCTTTTGAGCCGGTATTCATTCCTGAAGCTGTGAGCGGGAGAACACAATGTGTGATTACTGTATAGAGCTGGTGAGGGGAGTGTGTCAAGGCGTGCATGATGCCACACAATGTGCCTGGAGAGATTGATGTTTTTGTCATCCACCTGCTTCAAAGCTGTAAAGAGCCAGCTGATGCAAACAGAGAAAAAAAAAAAAAAAAAAAAACAAGAAAGGCAGGCTCACAAACAAAAGAGGGAGAACCTCACTGCTCCTTCTTTGCACATCTGTTTTGGAGGAATATCTGATGTTTCTGACGCGCACTGGGCTCGAATGAGCACTGAATCTGAGTCTTGCGCCTGGGAGTGGGTAAGTGCTGAATGCCCTTTTTTCTTTTAGAAAATAAGTCTTTTTGTGATTATTGTTTTTTTGTTTTTTTTTCTAAGGATTTATCTCTTTATGGTGCATCGCACAGCGGCAGCAGGGGGAATGCGGCTCCCTCACTTTTTTTTTCTCTCTCTCGCCGTGGCTCGCCTTGTTCTTTCTCGCCACTGAGAGCAAAGCTGCAGCCGTGCAGATCGGCCGGCTTTAATGGCATTCCGGTTGTTGGAGGGGGAAAAAAAAAAAAAAAAAGGGCGTCAAATTGAAGCGCGAGAGGCGAGCAGAGGGGCAGATGCGTGCGGTTGGTGAGCTCTCTGCCGTCCTCTCTCCTCGCCGTCTGCCTCTTTGTCTGACCCGCCGCTCTGCCTTCCGCCGCCTCGGGTGCCGGGCTCCGTCTGCGGGAGGAGTGATCTATGGTGCTTTGTTTATCACTGGCCATGGTCACTTCTCTGGAACGCAATTGGCTGGAACCACGCCGTGTGGGTCCTGCTCCCGTCGTCTCTGCCTCTCTTTCTCTCTCTCTCTCTCTCTCTCTCTCTCTCTCCCCCGCTCTCTCTATGAAGGAAGACACAAGCCAAGGGTGCCTTGTCCGACGTGGCTTTAAAAAAAAAAAAAAAAATCTCGTTCTTTATTTCTTTTATTCACGCTGTTTTTTTTTTTTTTTTTTTTTTTTTTTTGTGGTTTTTAAAAAAAAAAAAACACATTTTTCCCCCCCCCC